ATCTTATTTTACTTCATCTTACTTGTTTGATAAAGTTAGAGATACTTCACTTTACTTTACTTTACTTTACTTTACTTTACTTTATTTTTCGGATAAAGTAGATCTACTTTACTTTATCGAGTAAAGTAAAGTAGATTAACTTTACTTGATAAAGTAAAGTTAATTTACTTTACTTTATCGGTAAAGTAAAGCAACTCTACTTTACTTTACTTTACTTTATTAAAGCAAAATAAAGTTAAAGTGTCACCCCTACTCACAATCGCGGTTCTCTACTGTCAGCGAAAAACGACCACTTTTTGCCCTTTTTGTGCCTTTAAACTGGTTTTCAGCAAAAAACGGTGATAAACGCGTGTAGACGCATAAGATGATCATAAAAACTTGTCATCTTTTTCATACTCATAAATCACAATCATAATTACAATCACAGTTCACGAAAAGGAAAAAGATAACTACTTTTTATGTTCTTTTTATGCGTTTATACGAGTTTACAAGCGTGTTTTTGCTGAAAATACGTTTAAACGCACAAAAAGGGTGTGGGTGTGGGTGGGTGTGTGGGTGTGGCGTGTGGATGTGGGTGTGGGTGCGTGGGTGTGAGTGTTGGTCTTTTCCACGCCAACAACCACACCCACACCCACTCACACCCACACCCACACCCACGCACACCCATGCCCACACCCTCTCTTGAAGTCTGATGAAGTCCCATAAAGTCTCCTGAACTTTTTTGAAGTCTTTTGAAAGCTTGAAGTCCGCTGTTTCCCCCTTGGTTCACATTCATGGTGTTTATAATAATCATATAATGACGTATTGTATTTAATACTCACTAATGTAATTGAACCACTGGAATTTCGAGAAAGTTTTTTTGAATGTTTCAGAACAGTTTAAATGTTGTTATTAATCTCACGGGATTCCGGATCTTCGCCAATAAAACTTTCGCCAAATAGCACTTTCGCCAATGGCGAAACTCCACTATACTTTCGCCAAATAGCACTTTCGCCAATGGCGAAACTCCACTATACTTTCGCCAATAGACACACTGGAATATCGCCAATTGGCGAATGTCCACTGTACTTTCGCCAACACACTTCATGGAGTTTCGTCAGTTGGCGAAAGTATAGGAGACTTTCGTCAATTTAAGTGCTAATTAGACGTGAATTAGAAAATGTGGATCGATTATATTAATAAGTTACGTTTGTGTATGTTGTAGTCATATATTTTTTATGGCATTTTAGATAA